ATCACACTTATTTATATAACTAGTTAAAAACATTATTCAAAACTTGTCTTTAATTCAACAAAAGCAGCTATATTGGTAACACATATTAAAATACTGGCACTAATAAATTTCTTTTATTGCATATATCTATAGTTTGTGTAGTTACTGGGGCAGTATAGATATTTTAAAGTTTTATTTGTGAGCCAAGCCTGTCTTGTTTCAAGATTAGTGGTCCATACAACAATATTTTTAATTTTGTTGTGTTACAAAGTTTTCCTTTTTTAACTGTATGGTTTTGCTTGAGAGTCTGTGCAGGGGGACCGGAAGAGTCTACTTGGACCAGGCAAGGGTTTAGTAGATTCCTTGGGAGTGAAGAGACTACTAGGAGAAGCAGCTACGGAGACTCCACTGAAAAGAGGCATAATATCAATTATTGATTCGTGCACCTACAGAATAATAAATAAATATATATTATTCTAGAGCTCTTAAAAGTATGTTCCGAAATATAATGATATAACAAAATTTATAGGAAATTCATCATTGAAGAAGTTATAACTCGAACCTACATAGAGATTCAACGATGATATTTAGCTGCAGTTAACTAGGACTCGTGTAATTATTTATTGCAATGCAAGAACCTAATTAAACCTACAGTTATACTTTACTAAAATATGTAAAAGTTCCCTTCAGTTCCAAATTTGTCTTCATATTGCACTAATTTTCTTACCAACATACAAAGTATTTGTGATAATTATACAGGATGGTCCAAATTTAACAGGTTTATAAGATATTACTAAATTAACAGGGGATAAAGCACATTTGATCTCACCTTTTTTTTAAAATAAACATGTTATATCCCGTTATAAATTCCTCCCCTAAGTAAAATGTAAGCGTGATTTTTAAAATATCATTATTTTGTTTGGGTGTTCAAATAAAAAATGGTAAATGGTATTACCTTGAAAATTTGTACCCCTTGAAAAAATAATAAGAGTATGACAATGGATTTTACATATGTAACTATGTCAAATTATTAAATTGTTTTTGAAAATAAGATATTTATTTGAGATAATAAATTATGATACAATTAGAAAATCACCCTATAGCTTCTAAAATGGATTTATAACATAACTAAGCATTCCATGTTTTATTTCTCAAAAAAGTTGAGAATGGTGGGTTATAAGGTTTCGATATCTAGTTTTATCATGTAAAAGCGTCAAATTTTGACCACCATGTATAATAAAACAGCTAAGTTTAAATAAAATACTTTCTTACCAAAGAATGCAGCAGTGGAATCAATGGGGACTCTATTTGATTATAAAAAAATGCTTTAATTTGAGCCCATCTCATCAAGTTGAAGATTAACCATGCCTCCTTCTCGTTTTTCACCCTTAAACAAATAAGGAAAGAATGTAAATAAACAAAAATAACACTAAACGTTAGTTATTTCCAATTTTATTTTTTTTTTTAACTTTAGTAGTTTGAATAATCTTTAAAATGGGAAAAGACAGATATTGCTAAAATTGTATAAATAATAACACATACAAAAGAAGTTTTATATTGTATATATAAAAGTAATTTAATTTCTGTTTAAATTAAAATCCTATGAATTAATCTTTTAAAATATAAAATTTCTGTTAAATAACATTATTATAGGTACTTTGTTTAGAAAATTAACTTTAAATATATTACTGCATAAATTTTTAATTTGATTTCAAATAAATGTTTTCTTTTATTACTAAGAAGGCACAATATTCTATACTATATAGAAGTATATTAATGTTACTGTCCCAGAAGGGTGGGTGTACAAATATTATGAATATACAAATGTTATGTATAATAAGTGTCCTTTGAATGAGACAAAAAAATACGAACCTTGTCCTGTCTCTCCTTCTATTTAACCTCTTGTAAAGTTTAGTTTTCTTTTTGTTGTATCTCACTTTTAGATTTCCTTGTATCAGTTTTATATTTAATAAAAGCTAGTTAATCCTAATTAGTATTTTGGCTAATACAACTTCTTAGCAATTTACCTAAAATTTTAACCCCAAAAATGTAGTTGGAAATACAAATTAAGTATGTAATAAAGTGAATGTTTTTGAAGGAATTTTATGTACTTATTATTAATTTACTTACCAAGTGGTTTTTCTTCTATCTGTAGCAGTAAATTGCTTGCGATTTTTTTTTGTCAATCATTATAATACTTCAACTAAACGAACTCAAATTGAACTTTTATAATATATATTCAAAGTACCTCTCGACACTCACATAAATTGGCTGGAAAATTGAAAAATTCTAAAATACTAATCAGTAAAGATTCAATCTGTCAAAGTAGCTGACAGAGCAAGCGACGTTGCCAGTTCACGCCGTCGTTAAAAATTAATAGAAGAATGCAACCCGTACTACATCTTTAGTAAAAGATTTGGGTTTAACGAGTCATTAGATATTTAACGATCGTTGTTGCAACCCGCTGTATGTCTAATAAAATATATATAATATTTAGACACTAATTTATTCACCTTTTTCCCATTCAGCACTTTGAATTTTGCGTAGTTTAGGTGCAAATATTCGTGGACAATTCGGAACAAATTTTCGTTTTTCAAGTTGGAGCCACAATCCTCTATTAATCCGAGTAAGTAAGTCATGGTGCAATGATTGATCATTACATCAGACAATTTCACGCATATTTTGCATAGCGTATGATTTTCAAATAGGTAATTTTGTTGGTTTTACTTGCTGTGCAATATTCTTTATCGCAACAAAACGCGAGTTATTTAATGTTTTGAACTGTCAAAATACAATGATCACAGCCTCCTACGATTGATGCTTGCTGACGCTGGTTATGAATTTCATACCATTTTAAAGCGCTCATAACGCATGTTAATAAGAACGCAGAAAAACAATTTTCTACCACTTAATTAAAGAATATACTATTTTCTATTTTCAAATGGTATTCCCATGCAACTACAATGAGTAGAAATAAGCAATTTGAAGGCCTAAATAATTGCAGCGAAACATTTTTTTACGTCGGGCCGCTTGACAACTTCAAAACTGAAATTATATTCGAGGTTAGGGTCTCACTTAGTTACCATGACAACTCAACAATCAAGGCGACAACACCTTTTATGTTTCACTGGAGTGCGTTTAGAAACCCCGCACGGCGCGTCTGACCACATGCATTAGAATAGGGCTCAGACGCGTCGTGCGGGGTTTCTAAACGCACTCCTGGTGACTTGGAGAAAATAATTTGCATTGTTGAGAAACGAAAAATAAATTTTAAAAATATTTAATTTTCAACCATAATTCGGCGTGGAAATTTCTTACCGAATACCACGCGAGGTCAAATTAATATCAGGAAATTTTTTGACCTCTAGTGGTATTACTAGTGAAAATACAATTATAAACATAGATGAATTATTATAACAAAAATAGATAACCAACCTACTTTCATCTAGAAATATTCACAAATACCCATTTAATTTGCCAATATAGTATTTCTGCGACACTGGAAGAGTGCATTTTGATATTATAATGATACCTTTTGCAGTTTTAAGGCGCACCTTCTTCAATATTTTGTTCTAGTATAATACCCCATTTCATTTTCCAATAGTGTTTCTACGCCACTGGCATAATATTTACATATTTTAACAATAAACAAAACAAAATTATAAACATAAATGATTATTACTACAAAAATAGATAACCAACCTACTTTCATATAATATTATTTACTATTACCGCATTTAATTTGCCAATAGTTTTTATACGCCACTGGCGTAATTCATTTTGGCAATAAACATGCATTTATGACTAGTTGGCAGTTGGCACGTGATTCCGATAACTTCTGCAGTTTTAAGCGCGTGATTCCATTCTTTATGCTCTGGTATAGTATGATTGTTGTACGTGAACACGAAGGAATCACCTTCTTCAATATTTTGTCCGAGTATAGTTAGACCTTCTACGTTATGTATAACCGTTGTCTGTATATACCTTTATACTTTATACAGATAACGGTATATCTAATTCATAATACGGTGTAAAAGTGCGACATAATTTTGGTTCCATTGACAGTTAATTATAACCAAGCTTTTAACAATCAAATATTCGTTTTTACTGTTTTTATTTTTTTACTAAATATCGTTTGCGGGTCATAAAAAAGTAGTTTAAAGGTATGTAATTGGTTACTAAATTATTATATATTTGATACATGTTATCTACTTACTCTAGAAATATATTTATAAAACATAAAAAACAATTTACTTTATGGTAAACAAAACGAACAGATCGTAATAAAAAAAATACTGTCACTGTAATTCTCAGTGGATCCAAAATTACGTCAATTTTAGATACATAATGACGAGTTACACACTCTTTGTCACCTCGAGACCCTTATTCTGAGTAGAAGAGGAACAAAATCAATTCTAAATATGGAAAACGTATATTGAAAGCATGAATACATAATAATGTTATAAAAAATAATTACCAGTGTTGGCCTTAAAGTGCTTTTGCTCTGAACATATTCGGTGCAGGCTTTGTTACTATTTCACAGTGCCATTTTAGAGACAGCTGCACCGGTTAATTATTATTTTTTATAAGTACTTGCAAAATATATACAGGGTGTCCCAATGAAAAGTAGCCCGTTTCCATTTGATAAAATTTGGTTACGGTGAATTTAAAAGGGAAGATTTTTAAAAAGCAACCTGTATAGGTAATACATAATTTCTGTGTCACTGAAGCAAAACTTATAGCAAAATAACACATATCAGCAAAAACCGCACGTTTCTAGGATTTGTTTTAAAGTTATAAGCTCTAGAAATAGGCTACTTTTCATTGGGACACCCTGTATTTTAATATTGTGTATTTATGTTTGAATGTTTTAAATTGTATAATTGTAAATTATTTGTAAAATCTAGTAGGTAATTTAAATTAAATCTCAAAAACTTGAAGGTGTACTTAGATAATAATTACAATTTTTTTTGTATACCGCTAAATTACAATTATTAACAAATTAAATAAAAAGAAAATACCTGTATATGGCTAAAGGTGCCGGTGCTTTGGCAGATAAAACAATTTGTCGCACGAGATTTGCCATTTTTTTATTTAGTAAATAGTAGATATGTTAAAATAATTATTAAAGTGTGAAGATAATTGGTTCACTGTATCGTTTAATACTTCACTTACACAACTTATTAGTTGAACAAGAACTGTAGGTTAGGGTCAAATACCAACTGTACGTTGAGGTCAAGGAACATTAAAATAAAGTCCAAAAGTAGAAATATTATTTCATCGTTCAAGAACAAGTTATTATCTTATCATGTATATATTATATATTCAATTATTTTAAATAAATTGTATTAAAAATATAAAATAAAGTTTATTTTTGACTTTACAACAAATTATTTATTTGGGAATATTTGTAATAAATACACAAAATAATCTAGGAAACAAATTTAAAAAATTCCTTTATGTGTATAACATTTATAAAAAAATTATAATCTTTTTTTTTTTCTTTTAAAATATTTTACGGCACGAACATCCCTTTTAAATTACAGACAATAGCTATTTATGAAATCATCATGAGCGAATTACGTAAAACGGCATTTCGTAACGTGTTTTTCTAATTTTGACTAGTTTTTTAAAATTGTGTTTTGGTTAAAAATTACTGACATATGGGCAACCAATATTACTACTTTCTTGTTTAGTTACAAATAATTCACTTAATTCTTTTATTGACAAATAGGAAAATATATTCATCTATTCTCAATGACTTTATTGTAGTGTGTTTAGATTGCTTGTTAAAGTGATTTATTTTGTCGTGTATTATGTTTTAATTATTTTGTGCTGATTTAGAATGAAAAATAAGGACCAAAACAATATGTTTACTAGGTTGTAATTTTAACTAAATTCTATTTTTATAACATTATGCAACTGGTTACGTAAAGTAGATCATTTTGACACTTACTGCAATCACTTTATATGTTAAAAGTAGAAAAACAATATATTTAAACTTTCACTAAACATAATAATCATGTATGCAACTTTTTTGTTATTAGAAGGGCATGTACAATTTTTAATATTATGCTTCACATCCTTGTTAGTGGAAATAAAGATAACCATGTAGTATACTCAGGGCCGACTAGAGGGGGGGGGTAGCCGGGACCAATTCCCGGGGCCCGGACTCAAATGGGGGCCCGGCAGCGGTATAAGGGGGGCCCGGCAACTGGATTTAAATGGGGACCCGGCAGCGGTATAAGGGGGGCCCGGCAACTGGATTTTTTTTGTATGAGAAATCCGACATAAGACAAGAGGGGAAGTTTTTGGTTGTGGAGGTTTTTTTGAGGATCTTTTTTTTTGTTTTGTTTTTAGAAAATTCAATTCAAGTAGAAGAGAAAAAGTTTTTGTTTGAGGAGCTTTTTTTTGTCATGGGGCCCGATCTAAAGAATTGTCCTGGGGCCCGGCCTGGCTCTTGGCGGCCTTGAGTATACCTGTGTTACGCCGCTGACCCACATGTTAAGATTTTACAGGACCGTATTAGATACATTTTAATATGTTTTTATTTTTGAGTTTTTTTTGAATAAGTTGTTTATTTTAATTACTTCTATACACCGTTGAAAAAGGGGTCAACTTAAGATTTACCCTGTATAGACGCAAAACTGTATCGGGCTCCTAATAGTTATTTATGTATCAAGGGCGTAAAAGAGACCTGTATATAGACCGCAACGTGTAAGAGCCCGAGCCGCTGGGCGCTGTTTACACCCGAAATACATAAAAAAATTTATGCACGATCCATTATTTTTAACAAATATACAGGGTGTCCCATTAGTGCGTAATTGTTCAATATTTAAATTTGTGTTATAGACACGTAAAAAAGTTTTAAATAAAAGTTATATGGATTTGAAAGATACATATTTTAAAAATATTTTTGAATATACAGGGTGTTGCGTTTTTGCCTGACGAATAAAAATGTATGTTTTTTAAATAGAACACCCTGTATTTTATTTTTAGAATAGTTTGATGTAATACTGTATTCAACTCTAAAATGTTTTTAAAAAATATTGGTGTTGCCAAGCAATTAATTATAGAATGATACAGACCCCAAATTAAATTATTATTATTTACGTAGTTTACATTGATTTCGCACTAATGGGACACCCTGTATAAAATTTTATGTACGACCGTTTCAATGATCGTTTATTAATAAATAACTATTATTTTCTCTTTTTCGTCTTTTGTGAGCAGGTTATTATGAAAGAAATGTACTTTTCCTACGACCTACGACCACTTAGGAAAGTGACACATATCACACTATATAGTCCTATGGAAAGTGCCCTATATCACACGCGTATGAATAAGAATTTACTTTCCACCCGTGTACGAATATGCTACTTTCCGCATCAGCTGTCACAAAATGTCAAACGCGTCATTCCTATTTTGATCTATGTAATGTCCATATTAATACTAAAATCGATATTATTGTTAAATTATTGAAATTGATGTAAATTAGATTCTAGATATTTATCTTTAACAATTATTATTAAAAAAATTTTAAAATAACTAAGTTATGTTTGCCTTTTATTCTGGTTAAACACATAACCGATTAGATCCTTCAATTGACGCAAGGCCTATTAGCTCAGATGGTTAGAGTATCAAACTTTATCAACTTTGCCATTTGAGACCTGGCGAGCGACCGCGTTCAAATCCTTGCATGGGCAGAAGTTTTTTTTGTTTTTTTTTATTTTTTTTCTTTAGTTTTTTTTTTTGTTTAGAAAATATGAAAATTGAATAAATACGATTATTGTTGATTATTTTTTTAAATACATTTTAATTATTATAATCCCAGACAGCACACCAAATCCTTTGGATATCTACTGAACATCCCAATATCCACTGAATGTCCAGTCCATGGTGGATATCTATTTTATATCCATGAAATGTAATTTATAGGCATGCAAATGTCCATAAATAATTGTAATTATATAGCAAATTATTAAAAAATTACGCCATTGTACTCGCCATTGTGGCTAATAGTACCGTTGAGATATTTAAAATTAATTTTTTTTAAGGTGTATTCCATATCCCATGGACATCCACTATAAATATAAATATATCAAAGTCTAAGCGCGGACGCAAACCATCGTGGATATCTACTAGATGTAATTTTTGATTTTGCTTCCTAAGTATAGATGGCGATACCACTTTCGTATCTACTGATGCTTAACCCGCCGTAATTGAGTTTGATCGACATTGTTTCACAAACAGACTTCATTAGAGACTGAAGTCGAGAAGTTCCATTTATTGCTGAAGTTTCCTAATAATGATGATTTTCTCCTTAATAGGCAAAATCAAAGGCAGATTGTTGGGAATATTTTTTACCTCTATTTTCTTTCGACGTTATTCAATAACCATTGGTAATTATGAACCTCTACTAAAAATAATTATAAAATATTTATCTGAATTTCTATATCCTGGGATATAGACGGACATTTGGTTGGATATCCACAAAATATATTCTATGGATATATCTGGGATTTCTTGTGTTGTCTGGAGATACTCATTAGATATTTTGCTGAATATCCATAGGATATCTTCTTCTATATTCTGGATATAGACGGACATTTGGATATCCATATTAGTTCCACGGAATATTTCTGATATCCTGTGGATATATTGGATATCCACAAAATATATTCTGTGGATATCTCTGGGATTTGGTGTGTTGTCTGCGATAATAACCTGGTTTTACATTTTTTGATGAAATTATTTTGTGGTCGTAGGAAAAATATTGTACATCACTTGTGTGAAAAGTGATTTTTCACACTTGAGTGATAGTCGCACGAAGCACAATATTTCCCACTCGCGTGAAAAATGTCACTTTCCACACTTCGTAATGTAATATACTATTACCGCCCGATGAGCAGTAAAGTAGAACGCGGGCGGTAAAGGGGCACTTTACGCCAGCGTAACGTATTTATAATCTGGACTTTATCGCCCGGTCGTGTATAAAGTAATTTAATGAATACCGACGTATTTTTTATTTAAAATTCGTCAACAACTTTTTCATTGTCAAATTAAGCGTCCTATAATAAATTAAATAATATGGCCTTATATATTCCTTATCAAATTTTCCAAACATAACCAACTTTTTACTTTTGTCAATATTTTTATTATATTTATTATACATAATATAAACTACATTTGATAAAAAATAAATGCCTTGTTTTTAAAATAGGTAGATAACTAGTACATACCTAAGAAATGGCGGTAAAGCTGGTGCATTTGTTGTTTCAATAACTTTTCGTTCTAAAGCCATTGCTATCGAGTAAATTAGCTTTTTTATTCTAATCAATCTAGGTATTTTATAGTATAATAGACCCACTATTTATTTAACGCTATCGTTATACCTGCAATTAGGCTATCTCGCTAATTCTCAAATAAAATACCAGTTATACTTCCACTATCTGGTTGACCTTTTTTTTAAGTATATGTACATGAAAAACAGAACCGGATTTAGAACACACCTTTATTACTTTAGGTACCCACTTAAAAATAATTCACCCAAAATTAAGAACATACCTATTATTAGTTACCTAAATATGTTTCTTAAAAATGATTAGATGGGATTAAATTCTATCCATTTTCAAATCATTTCCGTAAATTGGTAGATGAGATAGGTATGTCAGGAGGATTAGGCAATTCAAATTATAAAAAGGACAACAGGCGAAACAAAAAATGATTACACATTAGTATCTTATGCAACACCAGTATCCAATATCACTATTACTACGAGCACATCAAATAGCGAATGACGAACAATATTTGTATTTTAATTAATGTAATTAATTGAAATAATAATAAATACCGTTCCGATGACGCCTATGCAGTGAATGTTTGAAGTGTAGCCGCCTCTCTTACATTTTAGGATCCAATCTATTTTAGCACGAAACAATTTCGCGAGGGACAAATTTGCGCCGAGACAAATACATGAGACATAAGTTAGCGCCTGATGGCTGATATAAATGAAGTGAGACCAGTCGACGCCTGGTCAAATCATACTAAGTCAAATAAGCGCTTTTTAAAAAGGGGCGAAACAAATTGGCGCATGACAAAATATTCCAGTGTTCTAATTAAAATTTAAAAAGAAAACTTAACTAATTTACCTAACCTGTGCGACGCCAAGCAGCTCTAAAGGCAATTCTCTCACCAGAAATCAAATCACGACTGGTGGAAGACTGTCTAGAAGACCTGACAGAGCTAAGTAGTCAAAATAAGGTGA